TAATATGACAGAATATGATATAATGTGATGTAATGTAATGTAATGTAATGTAGTGTAGTGTAATGTAATGTAAGGTTTGGATGTGTTTGGGTCTGTCGCAGGGGTCGGGTGTGCAGATCGTGATGGCAAGTGGAGGCTCGTTCAGACTTGCTGGAAGAGCTGCGAGAGGCTGTCGGTACCTCAGCAGGAACGCACCAGTTTCTTGTTTCTGGTTCGTGCGTTCGTGATGCAGACGCCGGCCAACATAGGTGCAGCTTGCATATTCTTGTCACAGTGAAATCACAGAAGAGCTGGAGTAGGCAGGCACGTGTGCACGCAGGCGGCAACGTGAACCCGGTACCCAATCGCATGGTTGCAAACTTGAAACGCTTGCTTGAAGGCTCAGCAGGATCTGCGACGGGAGATGGCACGACTGCACAGAGAGGCTCCATAGAGTGACTCTTGCTAGCTGCAGCGCGCTGCGCCCATACAGATGCGGTGATGACTGCCTAGATCTAGCTAAATCCAGAGATTTCCGTGAAAACAGGTGCGAGAAGCGCTGCAGAAGGAAATGGGAAGACTGCGGCAGGAATACACCACGTCCGTGGAAACACAGGCGGCTCAATGGCTCTTGCCCAAACAGCCTAGCCACGTTGGAGTCCTTGCCGACAAGACGCACTCGGCGCACTCAGCGCCTAAATGATGTGCTGCAGTGCTGTATTATATATAAAGTTGCTAGCCTCGCGCTGTGGGAAGCAGAGAGTGATGGAATGCCGCACGCTTGTCAAAAGAGGTGCGGCGGGGCCTGGCTGCTTCCGAAAGCAGCGGCGAGCGGCGCGTGGAGGAAGACTTGGATTTGGGGTTGATTGGGAGACTGGCAACAGTTTCTCTCTCCACAGGTCTGGAGTTGGTAGAGTGCTTGGAATTTAGGCAGCCCGCCTGTCTTTCGTCATACTAGTTCTTCCTGCCTGCTAGCTACAGCGGCCAGGAGATGCTGAGAGACCATCGAACTCGTGAAAGGACCAGCAGCATGATTCACAGGATGCAGCGTTGTGATGCAGAGAACCACTGCTTTCAGGATCCAGCTTCCCAAAGCTAGCTCGAGCTGTAGCCTGCAAGTAGCCTCCAACTTAAACTTCCAGTTCGACATCTGTTCCAACCTGTCAGGAGCGAGGCACGCGTCGTGGCCAACACGGCAGAAGCCTTCTGTGAGGCTGGAAGCAGAACTGAGACGCATACTGGAGATTGTAATTGCAACGAGAAAGTGCTTTGCCACACTTGCGCCAGCTTTAAAGTCTTAGTCGAGGCACCGTCAGGCCATGAGGCATAGCACAAGGCCGACACCTGCAAGACGTTTTCAGTGCCCCCTTTTCGAACGGAACTCATTGTTTGCCTAGGAGCAGGCCAAGGCTGCTGCGGCCAAGATGGAGGCGAAAGCAGCGTCTGCGCACGTGCAGGGAACGGAAGTGCACAGTCCTGGCTGCCTTTGGTGTGTCTTGGTGCCCGCGCAGGAAAGAGCAAAGCTCATGGCTTTGCAGGCTGAGGACTGAGACAGCTGCTGTAGAGTGGCCCGGGCCGTGTGACAGACTTGCCGGAAGGCATACTACGGAGCCCATGGAGTGTGATGTCCACAATATGGTATGGGGGGGGGCACAATCTTGGACTTCAGTAGTGCAGTGCAGTACAGTACATGAACAGCAATAAATCAGCTTCGCTCACTGGCAGGAAGCGACCCGACAACTCGCACAGACGATGCAGGATGATCTGTCCATGCACAGTCAGCGAAGCAAGGATAACTCTGCAAAGATCTCGTGCCCAGCACTTGGCGGACTTGGAGCCTTAGAAACAATTTAACAGCGTACCAGGTTCCTCGCACGCTGAGCTGCAGCTTAAGATCTGCAGGGGCAGGAACATCATGTCAACAACCCTTGCTACCTATGCTAACCTGCTGCTAGCTCCCTTCACCTCCCCGCAGGATCAGGCGACGTTTGCCGTCAAGCTTGCAGAGGACTGGCTGCGCGCGTGTGTTCACGAAAGCTTTCTCGACAATATGAATTTGTACCAGTTAACCATGGTATAGAGGCGTAGAGCTGTTTGGCAGTGGCACCACTTGAGCTGGTCAGGCCACTGCCCAGCGCTGCGCAGCGCGCGCAGAGGCTGCATAGAATCAGTTGAGATGCGACATGATATGATAATCTGTCAATTAATTCAGACCCGGTAAGAACAAGGCAGCAAACTCCACCCTGTCCGCCAGCACGCGTCATGTGACGCGACGTGTTCAGGACAGCAGGCAGTACAGCCCTCAGGCAGCACAACACTCGGGACGAAAGGGCAACTGTACCGGAATGTTGCCTCAACAAGCAGCCCCGGGCGCCATTGTGCTCGGGCGGGCAACTGTCCCAAAATGTTGCCTTACTCAGCAAACCAGGAAGGTTCAAGAGCAACTATACGGGAATGTTGCTTGAAGAAGCAAGTCAGGGAGGCTCAGGCAGGCAAGCGTTCCGGAACGTTGCCACAATAGGCAGGGCAAACTACCGAGATGTTGCTTGAATGAGCTAGGCCAGGGATGGTAGCGGAATGCAAGTCCTTGCAATTAGGTTTGAGTGACACGGTGGGGATGTTCGATGTGGTAAGTGACTTTGCAACTCATTGACTTACGCACAGGAACGAGCCGAGGAGCTGGCGAGAAAAGCGCAGGACATGCCAAGGGATGCAGAAGACTCATTTCGCAAAGCATCTGGGCCCACCAAGTGTTGGAGTTGTGCCAGGAGGACGCCAGAAACAGCTTCAGCGTCCACCTGGAGGACAATGCCCGTGAACTGGAACTCCTTGCCCGTCAACTTCCAAGCTTCTCCAACGTGCGGAACCCTACAGCTGCACCCTGAACCCAGTCTGAACCCTAAGCAAAGCCTGTTTGTCCGACCTCTCGCTGTAGTGACACTTCGCACGGGAGGATCTCCTCAGCACCAAGTTGCAAGCAGTGGAGAGCATTCAGGCCGAGCAATGCCAAGAGGATCAGTTTGAGTCTTGCGACGTCCTGGGTCCCAACGTCGCCCAATAAAGTAAGATGGGGGTTTACGAAAGTAGGGGACTCCCAATACTCTCCCAATATAAATCCCCTAAGTGCAGGATCCCCTTATAACAAGGACCCCAATAAGGCACCCTAATTTCGGAAGCCCCCAGATGATAGCAGTAGCGGCACTCGTCAATGGCAACAGCAAAAGCAGTACCAACAACGCGGCTGGCAGTAATGACACTACTTTTTGGTTTTTCGGAACCCCATATGGACCCCCACCCCCCCCTCTTTAAAAGGAACCCCAACACGGACAGTTTCGGAGCCCCAGCCGCACCAATAAATGCACGAGAAAACGGTCATAACAAGAACAAGAATAGAAGCAATAGTAACAACCACAGCAACAGTAATCGTGGAACATCCACCAACCCGGTCGAGCTTGCAACCTGGACCGGGGGCACCAGGCATCCGTGCAGACCAGCGTCTCTGGCATGGAAGAGGTTTGGATCCGAGTCTGAGATCCCGCAAGCCAAAAGAGGCTGTTAGTAGCATGAATCAGTATGGATCACGTTAATGCTGTTAAGCAGATCCGTCAAGATATTTACGGTTTTTACTTGAGGGAGCTTGTAAATGGAGGAGTATCATTCTACGTGTGCCATGTGTTAATTCAATGGATGCTCAAAGTAGCAATTCTCGTTATGGGCAAGTATTGTGTAAGTCAACTCATCGATCGAGTCACCCGCGCAAAACGCAGTAAAGAACTTGCCCCTGTTTGTCGCTGGACTAGTCCAATGAACATGTGAATCACTTCCTCATGAAATTATGGCTTGACTCATGCCTTAAACCACACTTTTGTGTGTACCCATGAATACAACAGACCCTGGCCAACACCAATATGGTGAGGTAGTGGAAAACCTAGAGGCAGTTTGGTTATAACCTGATGTTGCGGTTGTAACTTATAACTTTGTGCGGTTGAAGCCAGTCGGCTGCTCAAAGATGTATACTGGGTGAGTGTAGCATTTTTGTTTTACGGAAGCGTTGTGCAAAAGCCTTTTCGAACATATTTTGGTTTTCATGCGGTTTTCAGTGAGTGCATACGAAGGAGAGGCGGTGCAGATACTGTGCCGTTGTGCTCTTGGCTTTACATGCGGTTTTCAGTGAGTGCCCTTTCTCCAGGAGGGAAAGGACATTGCAAGTACTTGGGTGTTAAATTTTGGTTATGTCAAGTTGCAGTCGGTGTGGTACGTTAGGATTTGGTTTGGGTGTCGTTCAAGGTGAGCTTTGGAGTGGGCTAGCATATATGAAGATGGTCACCCGGTCTTTTTTGGTTGTCTGCTTTTGGTGAGTTTTGGCGTGGAAACCTGCAAACTTAGATCTTGAGGCGGGCCAAGCTATTATGAACGCGGCGAAACACTCGTAAGGTTCAGTATAAATCAGAAAGAATTGAGTGCTCTTGCGTGTGCAGCAGGCTAGCGGTTGAACTGCTGTTGCGGTGCTCGTGAGATGTCGTCGCTAGAGCGAGTACTCCTGTACAGATGCAGTCTTTCACTTTCCGCCTAAGAATGATGAGGTGTTTCAATTGCACTTTTGAACCTTTCCGCCAGCCACGCTCGTTGACACATCTCGGTTGCCACAGCAGGCGGTCAGATTTGGAGGATTCGGGTGCCACTCGACACTCCTGCATCGACTCGCGCCCCCGATCCAAAGGCCACGCAGAGCCTTGCTGCCCGCTGCCGAGCCGGGGAGCTCCTGGCTGAGCTGGCAGAGGCCAGAGGTGCTGCTATGTGATCTTTGTAGGCTTTTGCCACCGTCTGTCCCTAAAATACAGTGCTCCAACATGGGCTTAGGGTGCGGTCGAAGAGGGTAGCGCAGAAGATACGCTGTTGCGCTTGTTTTGCTTACGAAGTCCTTCTTCCTAGACCAGGGCAAAGCGACTGCTCTTGCCAGAGTAGACTGCAATGCCGAGGGCGAGTCCTCAGCTGCAGCGCAGCATGCGCGAAACGCTCAGGCGCCTCCAAGAACTCTGCTTCTGCAATTGTGGGGCTGCTGTGCTGTTAGTACTGGCTCGTGGACCGTTCATGTCATGGTCTGACAAGACAAGTCTTGTAGATAATCCACCCAGTTGCGAGATGAGCTCAGTGATGCCGCTTCCCCTGTCGGCTCCAAAGTACATGAGTAGGGGTTGGGATGCAGTGGCCTTACGGTTATGGTGTAGGATTCGACACGCTGCGGTGGACGTGTGCCCTGCCCAATCGATCCCCTAAGTCTGAAATTAGCCAAGTACAGGCTGACAGCTGGCTTTACACCCGTACCTGCTATCAACATTTGCAGCTTGTTTTCTGACTTGAACATTGGACTTGCCTAATCCCCTGAAGAACTGCATGATTTAGTAGAATGATTCTCGGGTGGAGCTCTGCTTGAAGAGCAGCAAAGCATGCTCCACTGGCCTCAGCTCGCGCCCCAGCCAAGGTTGAAGAGCTGACACTAGCACTTTCACGCTTGTTATCAAATCAGTTCCGTCTAACGCAAGTGCCGACAAGCTTGTCACCCGGGCTCTGGCGGCAAAGGTTTCTGTGGCTTGCCACAGGCTGGGGACGACTAAATCCCAATCCTGCTTTTGAGCAGGTATGGAAGATGAGTGGGGAGTGCGACAACTGACCCTTTCCGTCCCTCGAATCGAGGCGAGTTCTGCAAGCTGACACTTTGAGGATGCGCGAGGTTTATGGGCTTGAGGGTTGGCTCGATGGCTCCGACAATGCAGTAGAGATTTCTGGGTGGCATGTAGCACGCCTGCAGTCCGCGGAACACGCCTCTTGATCGGGTTGCAGAGCTCGCGCAAGTCTGACATGCTGACTGCGCCGCCATGCTCCTCTGTGCTCTGCAGGTCAAGACCTATCGCCGTGTTTGCACGTATGCTGTTCCGCCGGCAAGAATTGCAGAACTCATGGATGGGGAGATATGCTGTCCATTAGGGTTTCGTGCAGCTGGAGCATAAACCAATGGTCCCAAGCCAGGATGGCCAGCCCAAGCCTGCACACTTCGTGTACCACGTGCGGTGCAACTGGTCAGGCGCGAAGAGGCACTGGATGTGGACTGGTGAGTAAGGAGTTGAGTCGAGACTGAGATCCGTACAGATTACCGACAGCCATTACAACGTGAACGCATCAGCATGCCCTCCAATGAACAGATACCTTGCATCGAGCGCCAGGCCGGATTTGGATTTTGGCTCCAATGCAGATCTGCTTTCTCAAGAGCAGGGCGAGTCCTGCTGGCCACAGCCTGAGCCGTTCCGCCTTCTGCGGGGCTCTGTTTGTTGGGACCTTGGAGCAGTGAGGTGGGACTCCTTGCCTTCCTCCTACACAGTCAAGAGGAAGTGGGCTGATCTTCAAAGGCCTGCTAGCTCTCTACACGAATTACTGAAGTACTGCTGATAACTGCACTCGCTTTTGATGTTCTTCTATGGTTTGAGGGAGCTCAGCCAAGATCAGCCTAGACACCTGCCAGGCTTCACAACTTGGTGGATAGCGAGCTGGCCTTTGACAAGAGTGGAGGTTACCGCCGCGTGAAGGTCCCCTGCCTGTGCGAATCTGTGCGACATGCTGTAACCTGAATTCTGCTCCGTAGACGCGGATGCCTTCGTTGCCAGAAGCTGGCGCAGCATCCTCAGCAAGCGGTGTGCGCCAAGATGGACTGGCGAACTGAAGCACTTGAAGCCGTGGAGCCGGTCAGCCTTTCAGGATCTCAACGACTTTCTTGCGACTCTCGCGGCAACGGGCGATGTTGCTTGCTTGCAAGCAACTTGCACATGTTGTCATTCCAGCGGACCCAACTCGGTAGTTTGGACCGTCTTGTAGCGTGCGCACCCGGTCCCCGGTTGTTGGGCAGTTGACCACAGTACATCAGAACACGCAAGATTGACATCAAATGGACCATGAACGACCCTGACGACATCCAGCACAAGAGAGCAGATACATCAGAATCCAGAGAAGAGCAGAAGATCAAGAACGGCAGTGTCCTTTCCCCCTGTCGGGGGGCCGGGGGGGATCAGCTCCCATTTGGGTTTTAAGGTGCGCCGCGCGAAAGATTCTTCCGATGCCCGGAAGACTTCTTTCCATAGAGGACCTCACCTAACCCCCCCAAAATTGTCGCAGGATCCTTTGTGCTATGCCTTCCAAGCCTGGCCCAACATTACTTGTAGCAAGTCGCAAGTCCAAGGTTTTAGCCTTGAGCCGCCTGCGACTCAGCGATGACAGCAGTGTTTTCAATGACTCTGTGAGTGTCCGCGCCAAGAAGGCCTTGGGAATCCCAGGTCGGACCTCGGGCCTCCAAAACGCCGCAGGTCTGCCTTTCATTCTGTTCGTGGGGGTTCCATAGACCGAAGTCGAGACTTTGACCCATAAGCCCGAAACCGCTCCCTTAGGGAGCTGTATTGCCCTCCCCATAGTGAAGGTTTTGAGATACCGTGCCAGATGCTGATGCCATTTCAGAGCTGAACATCCTGCATACGATCTACGTGGAGAATCGTCGGTCTTCTCAGAGTCCTTTCAGTCCTTTCAGTGTGTCCGAGATAATTTGCCCGTGAAACAAGTTCGAAGTCACAAGTCATTGCGAAATCCTTCAGGACATGCAAGTGGAAAACTCTTGGCTTGTTGCGAGGCCTGGGTCCATACTTTGCGGAGCTCAACAAGGCCACCCTATCATATATGTGTATATGAATATGTATATATTCATACATATATACATATATAGAGTCCTAACCCCCCCCCCCCCCCCCCAAAAAAAAAAAAAAAAAGCCTCCAAGCCCTGAACCCCAGGCTTGGTGGGCTGTCTCCCCACAGTATTGTCTTGGACATCGGCCTGCCCTTTGTTTCGCTTCGCTTTGGCGTCGTTCCGGGTTTTGCTTGAGTTTGCAGCTTGCCTGACAATGTTCTAGAGGGGTGCATGGTAAGCAGAATCAGTATTGGATTTGTTATTTCTCTGGCGTTGATGATGTTTCCCAAAGAAACCCAATGCTTGTGTTGACCCGAAAGCGATGCGAAACATTTTGTCACAGATTCTGTTCTGATTTCTGATGTGTGATACAGTTGAGAACGCTCCCTTTGTACTCCGTTCCCACAGGGGTTGTCTCGTTGCTTCTCTTCACCTAGCCTCGCACATGTCTAAGACGATAAACACGTGGACTCGCGGAACGAGACCCGAAAAAATCATGCGACTGCCTGTCCTCTTGCCAGGTCTTGGCCGAAATCCCTTGGCAGATTCTTCAGGCTTGGCCGTTTGCCGGATCTCGTTGTGTTGAGACGGCTATCCATACAAGTAGCGGCAACTCTAGAGCCGCTAGAGAGAGGCAAAAACACCATGTCCAGATGTCAGGGTTGAATGAGGTGCATGGAGTCCAGGCCCCCCCCCCCCCCCTTTTCCTGCGGACTCATGGCAGGACTGTGTGCCGCTGCGGAATTTCGCTACAAGTGGTGTAAGCTGTCGGCCCAGGCAGCTGGGGGGCTGCACAGCTACAGATACATGGAGCACATGGAAGTCATGTCCCACAGCAGCTGCAGCCACAGAACGCAGCCCATCGCAGCTCTGCAGGGTGGCCAGCCAAGGGAGCACTTTCTATGGCAAAGGAGAGGCATTGGAGATGCCCAGTTAAGTTACCAAGCTGGGTCACTGTATCGTTCAGTGTACAAGCCTGTTAACTTCGTCCACTTTCCAGGCATCCCCGCCCTAGAAATGCCCATTCTTGGTATACTGTTTGTGTTGGCACCCTAAACCCTAAACCCTAAACCCTAAAACCCTAAAACCCTAAAACCCTAAATCCCTAAAACCCTAAAACCCTAAAACCCTAAACGGGGGTAATGGGCCTCCATGAGCCTCCAGGACCTTTCGTACTGGAGCCGAGCTTCTACCAAGCGGCCGGAAAGAAGGAGCTCGAGTCTTAACCAAAGGTATGGGCCAACGCCTTGAACCTCAAATGGTAGCTCAGAGGCATCGTGGGCTGCGCTCTCCCACCGAACTTCGCGAGCTGTTCTGGGTAAAATCGTTTTTCCCGAGGGCGGAAAGATTGCGAGAATCTCGGGAAGCCAAGACGAAGGCCGCAAAGGAGGTGCAAGTACCAGGCCGCACAAAGCCGGGCCATCAAGCAGTTTAAACTGGTAAATCATTGCAGTGCGTGATGCTGGAAGGCCCAGACAAAACCAAGAAGCTGCGCCGAGAGCCTTCTGGCAGGCATAGGGGTCTTCAGTTCCATCGAAGTCTTGTTTAAGTGGTTAGCTGTTTCAGATGTTCTCGCGCTCACGAGTCATCCTGCAAAACCCAACAGGATTGACAGCCAGTCCATCGCCAGCCCCGCGAGCCCATCTTCACGCAGGATGTCGCGGAGGCTGTCCATTCAAGGCCCCCTGCCCCAGGATGCACACATCCCACGTAAGGCCGGGCGATGCAGCGCGCACTTTAGCACAATTTTGGATCCCGTGAGGAAGTCGCAGCTTTGCCATGTCCAACTCGCTGCCGACACTGGAGCCAGAGGCCAGATGACACGCCCTGACCTGTCCTAAGCCCCAGCCCAATGTTAGCATGATCACATAGGGTGGAACAGGGCATGCACAGGCATTCTGGAAATTCTCATCTTATTTCTCTCTCAGTCCACACGTCTCATGCCCATGGCTTGTCGTAAGAGTCAAGCATATTTCCCGCAATGCCAGCAAAGCTGTACACACAGCGGCGAAGGTATTGTACGAGTTACGAGTCACAAAAAACGATTTTCGTGTGAGCTTGAAAGCTTCACACGGCTGCCTGCAGCTCGACGACCCGATGTCGCAGACGTCACCTGAGCTTCCACCTCAGCGGCAGTGAAATACACTGCAACCAACGACCCTGTGCCGCATGGGGTTTATGAGCGGGAGACTCAGGTTCAGCTGGGATGAGCTCCAGACCGTGAGCCTGCAGGAGACCACGACATGTACTGGTACCAAACAGTTGACAGGAAAGTGGTGGCAGGTCAGGTGTGATGCT